TTTTTCAGCTACAGAATTGCCCTGCTTCCCTGACCCAGAGCCTCGCTTTGTGTCCGGCAAATAACTTCAGTAAGCCTCTCTAAGGTGGGTAGGCGTGATTAACTGCAAAGCTTTTATTTTGCAGAGTATGGAGTTTGGGAGCCAGAGCTGAATTGACCAAGACAGACGGGACTGGAAGAGCTATGTGGAGAAAGGATGGAGAGAAGGCAGGAAGCCAGGTGACCATGCTAGAGAATTTAGATTATGAAATGGATCCATTCCTTCAACAAATATTTATCTCAACAAGGCTGTGTGTGCCAGCCTTTGCACTAGGTGCTGGGGATATGGCAGTGAACACACACACAGTCTCTCCTCAAGAAGTGTGGGCAGTCACTTATCCCTGTGAGGTTCAATGCCAACACTTCCACCTTCTTTTCCCCAAATCTTCAGCAAAATCCACAATGCTTGCTAAATGCTCTGGAGATGAACTTGCGGGAGGAGATGGGAGGATATAGAGTCTCATTCCTGGGTTGGAATGAGGCAAAGCCAGAGGCCCCTCCAAAAGGCCACATGTGGTTTCCATGCGCTAGTGGGCCAACTGGGGCTTTTTAGGCACATCCAGCATCTACATCCCCCTTCTCATGAAGCAAGAGCACTTTGATTTGCTTTTAAATAACTACTCCTCCCCCTTTGCAGTCTTAATGGGACTGTGAGTCAAGTGTTTTTCCCTCAATTCCTAGTCACAAGAGGGTCACAAGGGCCAAGCTAGGCCAGTAAGACTTGGGAGATGAACCCTAAAAGGAGAAACGCAAGCATAGAATAAAAAGTGGAGCTGATTTAGCCCAGCAGCTGCAGTCAAGATTAGCTCCCGTTCCGCGAATCCCTGGTACCCCTTCCATATCTGGTGTCTCCGTGGCCCCTTGGAATCTGTGACCTACTCTATATCCTTCCAATAAATTCTCTTTTGCTAAAGTCAACCAGAGTCCTTTTTGGGTACCTGTAATCAGAGAAGCCTAACTGATCGAAGTGATCGAGAAAAGTCCCAAGCCCTCCTACCCAGTAAGAGGTCTGGGCACCTGCAGGGGATGAGGGCATGCTGTGGTGACAGATGCATCTCACATCCTCAGAGCTGGGTTTGTGACTTTTCTCTCAGGACAGTTTCGACCAAAATCTAAAGTCTCCCTTAAGCTAACAGTGATTGCCCTTAATTAACAAGGACACTCAGCGTATCAGTGCCAGCCCTTAGAAAAAGGCCAACCCGATGCCAGAGAAGACAGAGGGATCAAATTCATCTAGGTCAGATAAAGGCTTCCAATGAAAACTTGAGCTTAATAAACATTCCTGAGTGATCCTTAAACCTTGCACCTGAATTCAGTTCTGCACTTACTGTGGGTCTTTCTGGCCCTGGTGACAAGGCAGGGCCTTCTCCTCCGTTGTGCCCATGCATTCATACAGGCCACAGGGGAATTCCTCAGGGGAGAGAAAGCTGAATTGATACCTTCAATTAATCTTCCAGTGTTCTTGCCTTCAGTCTATACAGAGTCTCCTTTTGCCCCAACCACTAGGATCACACCTATTAGCAGATAATTAGCCATTATAGATAGAAGCCGCTTAGCTGCTTTTTAAAAGTACTTCAGTTTTGAATCCAGTCTTCCCAGGATCTCAAACCTCTTCTAATATCCTCTTTCAGGGAACCAGGATTCCGCTCTATGAACAAGAAGTCCTTTAAGACTCCCAAGAGACCAGGCCATCGGCTCTCTCCCTAAACAGACCAAATTCCTACCCAATCCATTACCCATTCCAGTAGAGAGCACACACCCTGAAGACAGCTGGTCCTAAGTGCATCTGCCCAAGCACTACTCAATAGACACCTAGTTTTTATAATATATATGTAGACTTTATACATTTACATAGATATTTGTAATTATATATATATACATATATATAT